GCACTTACGTTACCTTCCCCCACCCCACCAACAAGTGAATACCCAGAGCCAAGTAAAACTTTGGTCCCTGGTGCCGAAGATATGGAGATCAGTTGTCCAAGACAGGTCTGCCTGTAGAATTCCTGCCTGCCACCTGGTCTTTAACCTCACCTGCCTCTGACTCTTAGGTTCATCTGTTGGAAGACTACAACTGTTCTCTAGCCCTCTCCTGAGACCCAGACCTCTACACCCAACCGCTTTCTGTACGTCTTTACTTAGATGTCTCAAAGGGACATAAAGCTCAACTTGTCCAAAACTGAACTTACAACACACCTTCCACCTCCATCCCATCCTCCTCCAGTGTCCCCTCATCTCAGTGAATGATGCCATCCCCCAGTCAGGTGTATGAGCCAGCAATCTAGGAACCCCCCCACACACACACACACACTTCCTTCCCCTCCACTCCCAGACAATCCGTGACCCAATCTCAGCCGTTTTACTTTTGAACATATTAAGGACCCATTTACCTCTTTGTATCTCCACTTGGTACCAGCTGCCATAAACTCTCACCTGGACTTCGGCAGCGGACTCCTAACTGGTCCTCCTGCGTCCTCTTGCCCTCTTCCATCCTTCCTGCACACTGTAGCTTGAGTGTTCTTTAAAAAACCCAAATCTGGGCTGGCCGAGTGGCTCAGTTGGTTAAGAACTCGCTCAAGAGTGCGAGCTCTGAGCAACAGGGTCGCCATTTTGATTCATGGCCCGAGCTGAGCTGCCGCTGAGCTGCCAACAGGTGGCAGGATGGCTCAGCTAAACAAACAAACAAACAAAAAAATCCCAAATCTGATCATTCACCATCACTAAAACCCCAGTGGCTTCCCATTGCTCTTTAAATAGAGGCAGATATGAAGCAGAACTCCTGGGGAGGCCAGGCAGCTGACCAGGGACAACTTGCTTTTCGTTAATGTATTCTTGCTGTAACATTTTTTATAATGGTTAATAACGTCACTTCTGCTGTGAAAAGGAGACTGGTTTCCTTGATTTCTGGTAATCATAAAACTGCAACCCATATCATTCAGGAGGGGATAATTAGCCTTTCGAACAGAAACTTTTCAAACATCCATGCACAGGGACACACACAACTTCCTAAAGATCTTGTAAGAACATCTTGAGCCAGAAGAACATCTTGAGACCCTGAGGGTGAATTAGCCTAGAGCAGGGGTTGGCCAACTATTGCCTATGGGCCATATCTGGCCTGCTACATGTTGTTATAAATGAGTATTTGTTGGAACACAGCCACACTCATTCGTGTATTGTCAATGCTGTTTGTACTCCAGCAACAGAGTTGAGTAGTTTCAACACATTATATGGCTTGCAAAGTTGAAAATACCTGGCCATTAACAGAAAAGGTTTGCTAACCATGCTCTAGATCAGCGGTTCTCAACCTGTGGGTCGTGACCCCTTTGGGGGTCGATCGACCCTTTCACAGGGGTTGCCTAAGACCATCAGGAAAAAAAAAGGTATTTACATTACGATTTATAACAGTAGCAAAATTACAGTTACAGAGTAGCAACAAAAATAATTTTATGGTTGGGGGTCACCACAACATGAGGAACTGTATTAAGGGGTCAAGGCATTAGGAAGGTTGAGAACCGCTGCTCTCGAGGTTCTCTCCCCACTATGGGCTGCACACTAAAATCACCTGGGGTGCTTTCGAAAGGGCTCACCTCAGAGATTCTGATTAAATTGATCTGAGGTGGGATCCAAGAATTGGAACTAAAAACTTCAGCATTTCCCTAGGTGATACTAATATGCAGCCGCAGTTGAGAATCACTGATCTAATCCAGTCTCCTCTCTCACAGATGAGGACTCAGGTCCAGATGTCAGGATCTGTCTCCTTTTTGTAAAAACAACTATTAATATCTACAAAGCCCTGTAAAGCACATCCATCCACATTATCTCATTTGATCCTTAGAACAAATTTGAGGTTCAAAGAGCAGGAAGCATTGCTGCCCTGCTTTACACATGAAAGAATCGAGGTTCGGGGAATTTAAGTCATGTCCACAAAGTCTCCTGTTTAGTAAATGAGAGCTAAGACTCATGTGCAGGTCTTCTGAATCAAGTGCACTGACTACTGACGTTAATTACACAACTTATATTTGTATTTTATTTTGGCATAGGAAGTCCTATTTGCTTTCAGCGTCTCTATAGACATGAGCCATACCCACCATCCTAAATCTGTCTTCCTAAAGCAGACGACGTTCTGTGGGCCCCTAGGATTCCTTGGGCTCACTGTGAGAGTAGAGTAAGGAGAGGATAAGTGCACATGGGCGTGTGTGGAGATCCAACCTCTGTGCCCTCACTTCCACCACAGCAGGTATATTTTTTACCTGTTCTAGTATTAGGATCCCACATACAACTTTGTTTGAATAGTTTCACCTTTGAAGACCACTGATCTATTGTTTTTTGAGAAACAAAAGCCATCACTTTTAGCAGACCAGACTTCCCATGTTTGTCAGGGTAGCTGAAGTTTTCATTACTGCATCTTGCCTACCTCAGGCATACCGTATAATCCGTATTAGGAAAGCATCATCCTTGTCCACTCTCTCGGTGGGCCACAGCATTTCTCCTGCCTGCTCATTATGTCTGCCTCCAGCCCAGTACACAGGCTCTCCACCTTGCTTCCACTCTTATTGGGTTGTTGGAAAAGTCATGACGCATGTTTGCGACAGATGGCACCAGTTCATTTTTGGAAGTACTAGAGTCACTCGCATCTATGTTATTGCTATGTCATTTCACAGCTGACAGTTCTAGCTTCACTCTAAACAAAAAAATTGAGCAATTTGGTCAAGTTTTGGAGATTTTAGAAAAAGTCAAAGATGGAAGACTAAACTGTGCATTTTTGCCATATTTTACTGTTTTACTTCCATAAAGGAAAGAACGCGCGTCAAGCTTGTGAAAAGTTGCATCAAGTTTACGGTGACAATGCTCTACAAGAACGTCAGTGGCAATGATGGTTCACGAAATTCCATGATGGTTCACGAAATTCCATGCTGGTGATTTGATCTCAACGATGCTCCTTGGTCAGGGAGGCCCACCGAGATTGATGACGACAAAATAAAGGCATTGATCGAGTCAAACCCACGTTATACGACATGAGATATCGCAGAAACATTGAACATTCATCATTCAAGCATTCATGACCACCTGAAGAAGCTGGGATACCTAAGCAAGCTCGATATTTGGGTTCCGCATGAACTCAAAGAAGTTCATTTGATGGTGTGTGTAAACATCTGCAATATGCTCATTAAATGTGAGGAAAACAATCCTTTTTTGAAGCTTCTGATAACTGGTGATGAGAAGTGGATTGTTTACAACAATGTGGTGCACAAACAGTCTTGGTCCTGATGTGATGCTTTGTTTCAAACGACATCGAAAGCACACATTCATCAGAGGAAGGTTATGCTCTCAGCATGGTGGAATTTTAAAGGTGTGTTTTTCGAGCTCCTACCAAGGAACCAAACAATCAATTCGAATGTGTACTGTTGACAATTGGACAGTTTGAACGAATCCATCATCCAGAAACGTCCAGAACTTGTTAATTGTAAAAGAGTTGTGTTCCATCGCAACAACGCAAGACCACACACAAGTTTGATCACCTGTCAAAAATGACTGGAGCTTGGATGGGATGTGTTGCCACACCCACCATACTCGCCTGACCTTGCTCCATCAGACTTCCACTTGTTTCACTCTCTTCAAAACCCCTTGCGTGGTATAACGTTCAATTCAGATGAGGCTGTAAATCAGCACCTTGTTCAGCTTTTCGCAAATAAAGACAGGTCCTTCTATGAATGAGGTATTATGAAGCTCATTAAACGATGGCAAGAGGTTATTGAACAAAACGGGCAATCTATCATTGATTGATCTTTGTTCTTCATATAAATAAATGACCTTTGGAAAACATAGACAAAATACATCATGACTTTTCCAACAACCCAATAGGTTTTGCTTTCCTGTGGAAATGAGGCATTAATGATGGAGGTGTGTAGGGAGCCAGAGGTCTGCAGTAAGGGTTAAGCCTGGCAGCTGGCAAGCTGACAGGCTCTCAGGCCCGGGTGAGCAGCGTGGGAAGGTTGCTAGATAGATCTCATTCTCCACTGTGTCGCTGAAGAAAGAACAAGCCTACGTCATAGACAACCTTGAAGGTTACAGAGTGAACTGCCAGCTTGTTAGCAGTTTCTACTTGCTATACTTTGTCTCAAGCTCCCAAAACTCCTTACCTAAGGAAAACTACTTTTGCTATAAAAACTGTGTACAAGCACTAAACGGTGCCACTCTCCACCATCAGCAGGCAGTGGACCTCCTGAGCCCAACTTTCATCTCTGTGTCTTTCTTTTCTAATCTCCTCATCCAGTGCACTCAGGTTAACCCTCTAGGTGCCTGACTGACAAGCCAGGTGGCCATGACAGACGAGCGGGCCTCGTCACGGGTGGTGTGGGATGGAGGGAAATAAGGTATCTTTTTGCATTTCTTCAAGTTTCCAGAGAGGAAGGAACTTGTATTCCCCTCTCCACAGAGGTGAGAAGCCCCAGAGTGGGCAGGACATATCCAGCTTTACATTCTATGACCTTCTTGTACCTTTCCACGGGAGAAGGAGTGACTAATTAGATTGATTAGAGTCCGGGACATTCATAGGGCTGAATTTTTATCAGGACTGGGCACAAGGTATGCTATGGTCCTGAACTGGGTCCTGGTTAGTCAGGATCTTTTCTCAAACTTGGCAGGAGGGTTACAGTGGGACAGAGTAGGAAAACCCAACTGTGTATCTATTTTTAGCTCCAAGAATGACAGACACCCAGAGTCACACACATGGCATGACCTCATATTTCAACACTTATTCGAGGAGGCAACATCAGTGACTCCTGGAGCCTAACCGCCAGAAGCACCATATTGCTCAGGAAAAGCACAGTCCCTAGAGCATAATGAAAGACATTGTGGCCTTAAATAAATATGAGACATCTCCACCTTCTCATTTTAACAGTCATCTCTCACTTTACTAATTCACAAAATATACGGTTACTTTTTACATACATACACAAACACTTTTAAGCAAAATATCAAATTCAAGAGAATCAGATGGACAGATAAATTTAGGAAGCCAAGAGTATGGAAGAAAAGGCAGTCACCAGATTTTAGAAATGATCATCTGAACTCCTCTGGACATTCAACTTGATATATTATCCTAAATATCCCATGTCACATGGTCCACAAGGTCTTCCTTTAGGATTCTGAAGCAATCAATAGCCATACTTGTCATTAAGATGGGTCCTGCCATCTCCACTTTGGCCTAGGTCAGAGTATAAAGAAAGAAAGAAATACATTCATTTTTCCAAAGTCAGGCAGGAAAAGATATCTAGACATCAGTGGGCCAAAAAGCAAAACAGATAAAGAGGTTTCTTCTAAGACAGAAATTTTTTTGTATATAATTTCAAAATATGGTCCTCTTTTCACTTCTATCCTAACATTTATTAGCAGATAAAGAAGCAAACATTTCTAGTAACTAAATTTCTATTACCGTATTTTGCTGTGTGTAATGTGCATGCACATTTTTGGCCCAAACTTTCAGGGAAAAAATCTTTTGTTTTATTTATTTTTATTTTTTTTTTTTTTATAAATTTTATTGGGGAATTAGGGGAGGGAACAGCATTGGGGAATCAGGGAAGGGGAACAGACAAGTTGCTGTCCTTCAGTCTAGTTGTGGAGGACACCGCTTCACTTGCCCATGTTGGTATAATGATCATTGCGCTCTTCCTGGATGAGGCAGTCGCTCACCGGCCACTGGATGGCCACTCACGGCAGCTCACGCCAGTTGCTGGCCGCTCACACTGGCTGCCCACCACTGCAGCCCCACTGCAGCCTACGCTGTCGCCGGCGACTCACAGCAGCCCAGCTCCAGGTTGAGCCGTTGTTCACCATCTTAGCTGTAGAGGGCAGTGTCACTGGCCCTCATGTGGGATCCGAACCGGGGCCCTCTGGCGTCCCAAGCCAGCTCTTAACCAACGCGCCACTGGGCTGGCCCTTGTTTTAATTTTTTAATTAAAATTTTTATTTGTTTATATTTAGGTACTTGTTTTTTGTATTATAAAGGAACTTTAGCATTTATTTATTTACTTATTATTGCACTTTTAATTCATAAGCATAAATAAAAGAATTAAAAACATTTATATAGATACAGAATTAATACTATCCATGTATATATAATGCACATCCTTATTTTTCTCTCATGAATTTAGGCAAAAAGGTGTGCATTATACATGGCAAAATACAGCAATTGCTAATATATTAGAAACTCGGTACATAGAAAAAGCAACCTGTGATCAGCATACGGGAAAATAAGCATCTCCCATATTGCCTTAAGGGTAAATGCATGAACATAAACCGAAACAATCTCTATAGAAGGCAATTTATAACACTTTAAAAATGTTCACAGTCTCTGATCCAACATGTTAACTTTTATGAATTTTTTTCTAAACATACACCTCCACACTTGCAAAGTTACATATGTTAGAGGTTACTTATTGCAGAGTTGTTTTATAATATGGCAAAAGACTGGAAACACAGCAAATATTCATTGAGGGAACTAATTAAGCAAGTAAAGGTATTAACATATCCACACCATAAAGAAGAACTATGCTACCATTAAAAAAAAAATCTATAAATAACTAGGGAAGGGTTTCCATATAGTGTTAAGTGCAAAAGAGCAAGGTATAGACTATGCTTCCATTTGTCTAAAAAAAGTGGTGAAATACTATGGATGTTATTGGTTGATAAAGCTCTTTAAATCTTTTAATCTACCTATTATTCCCCATAAGGGAGATTTTTCCACTACACACTCTCATAACTTTCTTATTTTGAACCTTAAATATGTATTACATAGTCATAAATATAAATAAATAATCTTAAGAGGAAAAGAAAAGTAAAATCTACCTTCAGGGGGGACCCACACACAGTAGTCTGGGTCATCTTCTGGATATTTGGAGGAGAGTGTTGATGGAAGCTACAAAGAAAAGATAGGTTATTTTAGTCACAAGAATTTTAATTCTAGAAATTACTGTCCCTACACCTGTCAGCAAACAAAAAATAAGACAGAACAATTTCCATTAATGATCTTGACATAAGTCATCACAAAATGGGGGCACGTTCTCTCTGAACTTTGATTTTTTTTTTTTTTTCTGTAAAGCCTCAATGAGCAGATTTTCAGCCAGTGAGAGTGAAGTGATATTTTTTAAAGGAGCAGTTAACACAGGTCTGGTTCTAAATGGTATAACCCCCATAGAGGGGAATTTGGCATTTGCCTTTTGATCTAGGTGCAGAAATAAGTTAGTACAGCAAACCTGACTGCTATCCTTTGAAAGGCCTGTTTGCAAGTTGGCCCTTACTTGGCATCTGGCAACTTGGATTTCAGGAGGGTTCCCACTACCCTAATTGATAAGAGTGGCTCCCTGTGCCTAAAATGTTTGAAAAAACAATGTGACATGCTGAACACGTGCCTTCCTTCTGGGAGAATGGAATTTGAGTACCTGCCAGACAGGAGATGATTATGTGATCAGTCCTCAATAAAAATCCTGGGCACTGAGATGCTAATGAGCTTCCCTGGTTAGCAACATTGCAAAGTGTCACAACTCGTTGCCAGGGGAATTAAGCACATCCTGTGAGACTCCACTGGAAAAGGACCTTTGGAAGCTTGTGCCTGGTCTCCCCAGACTTCACTCTATGTGCCTTTTCCCTTTGCTACTGTGCTTGGGATCCTTTACCTGCAGTAAATCACAGCTGTGAGTACAACCATATGCTGAGTCCCCTGAGGCCTCCTGTGAATGACCTAGCCTGAGGGTGGTCTGAAGACCTCCCAACACAAGCTAGCAGTCCCATTTCTGGGTACTTACTGTATCCATACAAAATGGTGTATACACAAGGTTATTCATCATAGCCCTGTTGTAATAAAAGACTAGAAACAAGCCAAGTGTCCTCCTATAGGGAACTGGTTAGAGTACAACCACATAGGAGGAAGCTCTTGGTATACTGATGCAATGATTTCCACAATAAGTAAAAAAAAAAAAACAAAAAACCAAGATGTAGAATGCAGTACATTACATTCTAGTTTTTATGTACTAAAAGGTGGAAAATAAGACTATATTACTCAATTGTCTTTGTATGGCATACTAGAATATGAAGATTCATAAATTAATAAAAGAAGTATGTGAGCAGCTATAGGAAGCAGAGTGGATGGAGACAAGAATAAAGAATTCAAAAAATAAAAATAAAAGAGAACCCAGGCTTCTAGAAGAGGTGGGGATGAGGCAGTTGGGAACTCTGCTAAGATAACCCCTAAAGACTCATTCCTCTGGATGTGGTTCATGACATGGGGAATCATTTTTACATCCAGAGAAGTGAAGGTGATGACTAACGTACTTACTTTGCCTGGACCAGGAACTTTCTTTTTCTTCAATTCATCTCTGCTTTTCTCATATTCATTCTTTGATGCTAATTTAAGAAAAAAAAGAGGCAATAGCTATTTCCGAAAAATTAAAATAGAAAATTTCCTAAGAGAGCACCATAATTATTGAAGAAAACATGTAACAATCCAATTCTCAAAAATTCCTTCTACTATTGTAAAGACTATATATTAAGAGAGAATTCCCCCTTCACTAATAACCCTAGTTTTCAAATCCTAAGGCTAGTCTACACACTTGAATATAATCATACCATTTGCAAAGGTTAAGGAAAGTGGGACTGACTTCACTATTCTACAGTTTAACCACTACAGTTAAAAGCAGTAGAAAACCTGGAAATAAAAGTCCTTTTAATAGGCCAAACTTTCAACCAATTTCTTTTAATAGTTTTGGAATCACTCCCATGATAGACACATACTAACTCTGGGAAATGGAGAACTGTAGGGCTTTGCATGGCCAGAGAGAAGCCTAAAGGCATTAGGTGTTTTGTGGGTCAGGGAGAGGGAACCCAGGAGGCAGACAGAAGTAAAATAAAGGCTAATGAGATGGCATCAAACATAAAACTCTCCTACATTCCAGTTCTGTCCGGGCCCTCGCAGCAGCAGCCACCTGGTGTCTTAAAGACCATTCCCTGTGTTGCTTCAGGTCAGCTGCCACCCTCTCCTGTGACACCAGTGGCTGCTGTGTGCAGAGCAGCAATGGAGCCAGCATGCTACTTGCCTGAGGGTTCCTCACATGATGACGCAGCTGCTTCACTGATCTCACGATAATCTTTACTCTGCTCCACTTGGCTGAGTTGAGATGTGTTTTCTATAAAATGCAGAACCAAAGCATATTGTTACTACTTAATTCGTTGGGGGTGGGGGAATAAGGAAACAAAAACAAAAGCCAGAAAAGCTAAGTACATACATAATCATCTAGTTTTACTAACATTAGCTTCAACTTAATTAAGTTTTCAATAACTGTCTCCAGATGTCTATCAGAGAACAACCGACTTTTCACTTTAAAAACGGGCCACCTCTGAGGTAACACACTTCGGTAATACTTACCAAATCCTTAAAAATGTACATATTCCTAGAAATTCTACTTCCAGGAACATTTTCAAAGAAAATAATCAGAGATAAACACCAAGATTTATTATATACAAATGTATTTATAATAGCAAAAGTTCACAAATATCTTACACGTCCAACAATAAGGAGCTGATTAAATAAATTATGGCAGATGCATGTGATGAACCACTATGTCCCTTACTAAAACCACATTTTATAGGAATATTTTAAAACAAAAAAAATAGGTTATAAAACAGCATGTATAATACGATCCCAATGTTGTAAAAACAAACAAACAAACAAACAAGGCCTTGAGTAATCCTAATCAGCTGCAGATTTACTAATTACTGTATTGTATAAACCAAACTTTCAAAGATGCTGTTTTCATACATACATATTTGCTTTGGTCTCTTAAAAAAATACAATAGTTACAGCTCCCTTCCTGCTGACCTGTTTATATGCCACCATCATAATGTATGGATCAAAGACCAGACTCAGAAAAAAATATGTATAAATTCCTTTTTTGAAAAGGCCAAGCATTTTTGCTAATAACTAAACAAAGGAAAATGCAAAAGATAAAAATTTACCTCTCACAAAGGAGGAAATGGTTTTTTGTTTGTTTTTTTTTAAATAACTGAAGGTGATTCAAAAGAAGGTCTATATATCAGGTCTGGTATTTTTACAGACAAGCCTGGTTTGTTTTAGAAGGAGACATGCACACATTTAATGCGGTTTTTTGTTTGTTTTTTCCTTATGTTCCCTATTTTCTGTGCAGTCTTAATCTTGCTAAGCAGTTTGGCCAACTTGCATGAGAATAACCCCTGCAGCTGACGAGGGATAAGAGGATACTAAAAAGATAAACATCTTTTGGGATGGGAATGTGGGAGATTTTTCTTTTCTTCTTTAGACTTTTATGTATAGTTCAGGTTCTAAATGAGCATACATTCCTTTTATAATCAGAAGAAAATACGCTTAAAAACCAATTAATTCCCTTTCTCATCATTTTTCATCAAACCTTTGCTGAGGTGGATGAATACTATGTGCCAGGTTCTCTGCTAGGGACCATGTCCAAAAGATGCATAAGGTATGATGCTTCCTGAGAAGTATGTCCAGTGGGCACAATTATGCTTAGTGTCTGTTTTAGGGTTGGGGGAAAAAAACGAGTAGGGGAGGCTATCCTGAGACCACATGATCAGGCCCCATCATCAGGCCCCATCATCCAATATATTATTCCACTGCCTCCAATCATACAGTGGCAGCAGCTCAGGTTTGTCCACAGCAGCTAGGGTTTCAGACTTCAGAGCTTTCAATTTTCCATAATTCTGAAACAGACTGGAAATACCTGTCTTTATTTTGCAATGAGAATAAATAATGACTGGCAGTCAAAGAAAGTATGTTTCCACAGAGTCAACAGTATCACATATCATTAAGTATTACAAAGTCAAAATGCACAGGCAAGAATTGGCTTTGCAATAACTATTGTAGATGATGTATTATAGAAAGTACACTTGAAACCTATATAATTTTACTACCCAATGTCACCCGAATAAATTTCATAAAATTTTTTTAAAGAAAAAGAAAATAAGCTATAAATATAGTTATGTATTATTATTCCCATTCGACATGCTGTAGAATTTCTCCTGGTTTTTAATAAATTTCATTTTTTCAGAGGTAAAAAAACAACTGACTTTGCTTTTTCAAAGCTTTCCACAATTAATGCAAACATCCCACTGAATATCACAGGAAGGAGAAGAAAAATATTACCATGGTGTTTTGTTTCTTTAGAGCATGTGACGTCCGTGGGAGGACTCATTTCCTGCACTGCTTCTTCTGGCTCTCTCTCCTGCTGTGACCAACTGCTTCCAGTCTCCATTTTCTTCTTTTCCTGCTCCTCCTTTTCTTTCTCCTCTTCCTCTTCCTCTTCCTCCTCCTCTTCTACTTCAGGCTCATCCTTCATTCTCATTAGAGTTGGAGGGAGTTCAGGACGCTTGGGGGGCAACTTCTACAAAGGAAACAAAACCATGCACACGTAGTTCTACATAATGATAAAGAGGCAAATCTCTTCAAGGGGGTTAAGCAAAATGTGTAGAATGTTTAACCTCACTAGGCTGACAGGCTGCAGAAGTTTGGTGGAAGAAGGACATTCACATTAAAATTTTATCCATCTATGGACCTTTAAGTATCTTTATTAGTTTCTAGGGTCAGAAGAATATTAAGTAGGAGACACCTGAAACAACTTGTAGGGAACTAAATCATTTCCTCCAGGTGGGTACCGCTGCGGGAGTTCTGTCCTGTTACCCCTTTGTGATGTTAAAGGATCTAATTCACTACAAAATCTTCTAGGGAGTAAATCAGACACACATTTCTAAGAAATGAATCACTTGTGCAAGCCTTTTCATTTTAGATTTAACACAATTTCAAGGAAATAAGACATGTAGGTCAGCAAAACAGATCCTGAGGAAGAGGAAGACATTTCTTGAAGACTAAGGCCAAATATTGTAATCAAGACCTTTTAATGAAAGTAATTAGAAAAAGTTGATCACAGCTTAAGGAATAGAGAGAAGGTATCAAAGTATATGTTGGGTATATCATGTTTTAAATATAGGATTTAGTTCAGTAATCCTCTAAGAAAAGTTTTTTAGTGAAGAGTTTTTCTTCTAACTAAAACCTCCCACCCACCCTCACAGAAAAGCTTCCATCTCAGGTAAACCACACTCAGAACAAGTGGCTGGGACTTCAGACCTCTGCCACCAGAGGGCAGTTTCCCCTAATTCAAGGTGTTTTCGGCTGAACTATGTACCCCTAAAATTCATATGTTCAAATTCTAACCCCCAGTACCTGAGAGTGTAACCGTACTTGAAGAAAATGTCTTTAAAGAGGTGACCAAGTAAAAAGAAGGCTGTTAAGATGGGGCCCTAAGCCAACAGGACCAGTGTCCTTATAAGAAGAGGGAGGCAAGCGCACAAGGGACAGCCACGTGAAGAGGCAGCAAGAGGGAGCCATCTGCCCGCCAAGGAGAGAGGCCTCAGAGGAAACCAACTGTGCGGGCATGTCGCTCTTGGACTTCCAGCCTCCAGAACTGTGAGAAAATGAATTTCTGTTGTTTACGTACCCAGTCTGTGGCATTTTGTTATGGCAGCCCTAGCGTGCTTAATACTCAAGCTTTAGCTCTTTGGAGTGATGAAAACCTTTTAAAAGCTGAATGTACAAACAGGGATGTACATAAAGCAAAAAAATATATCAGTGAGGTATCAGAGGACCTAGAAAGATCACAAAACTCAGGGACAGAAGACCTGGATTTGACTGCCAGGCTAGTTACTAACTGATGGTGTGATCTTGTATTTAACCTCTCTCTGACCCTGTTTCCTCACCTGTGAGAGGTAACAATTCCCACATATCAAAAGGTGTTGGCAGGATTAAATGAGGTAAGGAAAACCACATGGCAGTACCAGGGGCACAGACTACGATACTAACAAACGTTAGCTGAGTCTGAAGATTACATCTATCCACCAGGAGAAAATTAATGCAGTAGACTTTCTTAAATACAACATTCATCACAAATGAATCAACTGGCATTCTAATAAACAAATCAGTTATATGCAAATTCACTGGCATGAATCTATTCTTCAATTCTTGATAACCCTAAACTGAAGAGAAAAATCCAAGAACCAACTCCTGGGAAAGGTGTGATCATACCAACCCCACAGCCCTTTTGCATGTTACTATGAAAAAACTGACTCATACGATGGAATGAGTCATTTGAGCTTTGAAAAGAAAAGAGAAAAAAATTAGCGCAGATAACTCAAGAGCTGAAAGTTTAACACCCTGACCCACAACTTACCCCTACTGTTCCAGTTTTTAATTTGAATTTGCTTCCTCCTTTCATAGCACCAAAAAGAGGCAAGGTAAGCTTTTTAGCTTTGTTTTCTGCATCTGTAGTCTGAGTTTCAGTCCTAGGAAGAAAGAATAATTACACGTATCTATTCCAGTGAGGCCAAGGATTTAGCTAAAAACATCATGACACTGACCAAGAAACTTGGCAAAACAGTTTCCACAAAATGAATATCTAAGCATACGCCAATAAGAGGTAGTTGAGCCAGCAGAGTTTAAACAAATGGCACTGCTGATTGTCACAGACACAGGTTCATTAAGGGCAAGATGAGCCTGCTACCTTAGTCTAGTAATTTACAACATGTTACATGACTTCACATTCATAAAATGATGCCTACAGTACAAAGGTCACTGGCAATAGAGAATAAGTAAGTATGACCCCACCCCCACTCAGTGGCAGGAGACGGATCCATGGTGTAAAGCCCTACTTCACCCACCAACCTCTGAAGAGAACTCACAGTGTCTTACTTACCTGAAGTCCACTTATCATAACCACACACAACAGCTATGAGCACAGAAGTGGGTTTTTTTTAAAGTGTGTGGGTGTAGGTGGTGGGAGGCAAAATACCCTGTGTAGTGAGTAATGATAAAGACATAATGAGAAACCCTACAATGTTGAGTTTGTCAACATTCTCATTGGCTAGACAGTTATAAAAGCTAAGCCCATAGGGTAAAGCTGAGGCAGGGCAAAATGAAGAGATTGTAGAAATTAGAAAAAAGTGGGAAGGGGAAAAGAACAAAAAGGATGGCAGCTCAGTTGACAAGGCACTCAGAGTAGAGAGAGGTGACAATGACAGGATAGCATGAGGCAAAAGCCCTATGCTTTTTTTTCACCTTGACCATAGAACAGCCCTGCATTCTGGAATATAAGAACAGCACTGGTACTCCTGACTCACAGTGACCCATACAAGAAACTGACTACCCTGAAGCCCCATCTGCCTCTATTGGCCTCCTTTACCTAAGATTTACCCTCTCAGTGGCGCTCTTGAGCCTAAGCTCACCATCCCCTCTCTCTACCAGAGACAGACCCATTGCCTTACTAAGGCCACCAGAAGAATCCTGCCTGCCTGGCCTTAAAGACCCTTTGCCAAATCATTATTCTTCACAGGCCTCAGAAGGTGTGTGCAGAGAAAGACCAAGGCAAGAGCAACACAGTTAGTTTTCACTCCATGAAATAGCTTGGCTGGCCTGGAGAAAGTGTGAAGATGCCCAAAGGAGGGGACAAAGCAGAAGATGGAATCACCATCAAGACTTGCTTATGTGGGGGAGGAGTGGAGTTAGGTAAAGCGTTTGGAAGTTCAACCTTCAATGATAAGAGGAGGGGGGAGATACACAGCATCTGAAGGCCACCATCTAAAGTATTAGGTTGTCGGAAAAGTCAAGACGCATTTTTGCGATGAAAAACATAGAAAAAATACGTCATAACTTTTCCAACAACCCAATAGAAAAGGGAGGAGAAACCAGGTAGACACACAGACATCAGGAGGGGAGGCTCTGGGAAAAGCTGATAGACGTCTCCTGGCTCCGAACACTTCAAAGGGCTGACTTACCAAGTTAAACAATTACAGAGTTGTATGTAAAACTCATTGTTAATTTGTTTACCCTGGACTATGCCTCATGAATTGTTACCTTTTCTCCACAAAAATGGTATTACAAATAGTTGCTAGATATAAAAGAAATAGTAAAAAGTTTGACAATGATGAAAATAATAATTTTATATATATATATATATATATATATATATATATGATAGTACTTTGTTAAGTGCTATTCATTTAATCTTTGCAACATCATTATTTCTAATTTATAGAAGAGTAAAGCAAAGATCAAAGAAGTTTCATAATTTGCCTCAAAATGCCAGAATGTAATTGATAGAGTTGAGAAGGAAACTCAGGAAGTCTAACTCTAGTGCTAACCTATCTCCTCCCTGTCAGTAAGGTAACGCAAATATCATTTGGGTCAAGTAGAATTCTGTGGACTGATCTATGAATCACTGTATTAAATATCCAAACTGCCCAGAAAACTTGCTAGTATTAGGGGACAAATTTTCTGTACAGATGATCCAGGGCTCCAGAAATACTTTATCTTTACATCTCTATAAGAACAGGTATCTATCAGTATCTAGATACTCTTTTATGAAATGCCCCAGCATCAAGTTGCAGGCTTTGTACTCAGAGGAGAGGGGTTGAATAAATGCTTACTGACAATCTAAAGCAGTAATGTCTAACAGAACTTTGTGCAGTGATGAAAATGTTCTACACCTGCACTGTCCAATACAGTAGTCACTAGCCTACTTAGAGACTAGTTCTAGTAGTCACTAGAACACATAACACGTGCCTAGTGTGACTAAGGAACTGAATTCTTTAATTGTATTTAATTTAAATAACAAATGTGATTATTGGCTGCTGTACTGGACAGCACAGATCTAAAGAAAACATGAAACTTTCTATAGTTAACTACCTTCATAAGTGAGTGAACCCATCTAGGAGTACCACTTTTTGAGATGTCCACCTGGATTCTGCTAACTGGGTGAGAGGGATGCTTATTGCTAAAACAACCTACTCAACATTTTCAATATTTGTTGAGACCACATAGAACAAAATTTTAAAATACTGTCAAGTTGAAAGACTGGGTCTCGGTCTCTCTCTCTCTCTCTCTCTCTCTCTCTCTCTCT